TTAAACTTGAGCTTAAGTTATTAATTTAATTTAAAATTAAAATTGTGTGTGAATAATATTTCTGCGACTTAAGAGCAAAAAAAAAAAAAAAAAAAAAAAAAAAAAAAAAAAAAAAAAAAAAAAAGATCAGTTTGAACAATTAAAGATACGTTCCTTAATCTATTAATTCAATAAATAAATTAATCAATTAAAAATAAATAAATTGAACTTTTATGAGTGTTTAAACCTAAAATCTATCTTTTAATGAATGAAAAGAAATCTATTTCTCCATAGTTGGCACGCTTAACTGAGCCAATGCTACGTAATTTACACAAAAATATTTACTTGTTGCAATAATTTTTCAGGAAACNAAAATATTTACTTATTGCAATTATGTTTCCAACATTTCAAATTTTAACATTCGTTTTTTCTTCCCATTAAGACATTGTTTTTAATAATAATACAATAACGAGCATTTAATTCACGAAGTTCACTTTTTGTTACCAAAATATCATTGTGCATATTAGACGATTTTGTTTTATAAAAATAATTATATACAAAAACAAAATATTATAATGTAGTAAACGCCCCTCTGAATCTGCATATACAGAGATGCAAACTTGCTCTGCTCCGTATAGAAAAATATTTTTAATTGAGTGCAAAGGTTACATTTATTGTATGATACTTTGTTTATTTAATGTAAAACCATTTTCCCTTTCTACGTTTAAATAATAAATAATTGAAAAAAATCACGTGAAACATACTTTTGTTTACTGTTATTTTGTTTTGGTTATTTTGAGAATTATAAATTTTACCCAAATTATCTTAAATTCTGCATGGTTTCGTTAATCCTAAAATCTTATGAAGAAAAAAAACAATTTTTTAAGAAAATGGCGGGAAAATTTATCGAATTTTGTTCCGGTCTTTTGGTTTTCCGGTTTTCTGATTTCCGGATAACGGGTTCTGTACTGTATTTATTTTTTGCCCACATTTTAAAGTTTATTTTCCTAAATACGCTCAAAACATGCAATGTTGTTTTTATTAAGTACTTAAATTGTGAAACAAAATATTTTACGAAAGAATAAAATCAAATGAAAACAGAACAGAATGAAAAAAGATTTCAATTACTTGACTAAGCTATGGCAAAATTAAAACGGAAAATATAGTGTGTATTTTTTATTTTATTTCCAGTGCATTTAAAAACACAGAAAAGTAAAATAAGAAAAATATTTACTGTTTATCTTGTAAAAAACTGAGCCTGTGTTTTATCTTGTAAAAAACTGAGCCTGTGAATAATGTACAATGTTTTTTTTTTCATAGACTTTATCCGTGACCTTCGAGAATGAGAAGGCCTTACAACTCTTTCGTGACGTCACTGAACTTCGATCATTTCTCTCCGCTTGTTGCGAGCTTTTAACATGGGGAAAGATTTCCTAATATAATTATTTCTACTTTGTCTCTTCATATAATATTAGACACTCATTAAAATGCCGCAAAAATAGTTGGGAACAAGGACTGAAACCTTTTTTTCTTTCTCTTTAAATTTAATTAATAAAACTGTTAAAAGAAAAATTTGAAAACTAAAAAATTCGTGATAATCAAAAAATATGTTATCCGTACAAATATATGAATCACAGTCCTTAAGAAAAAAGTGATTTTTGGAGCTTAGATATCATTTTTGAATATTTTATTTGTGAACAGAATAAAAATTTCATATCAAATACTAAATAAAAAAAGAAACATGGTAAATCACAAAAAAGGAATACTTTATTACACAAAAAAGTAACAACAAACTTTTAATGCTTATTTTGACATTATTTCTATCACAACAAATGAAAAAAAAATTAGATTCCATTTCTTACCTACTTAAAAATAAACATTTAAATATATTGTATATCATTATAAAAATCATTAGACAATGAGTGTTAAAAATTGCAATAAATGCTTAGAAAAATATATAAGAATTTCAATAATACAATTATTGAAGTACAATTAGAAAAAATTCCAAGTTTTAAACTAAGAGTGATTAAAATTTTAATACAATTGTTGAAATATAATATGGATTTTAACATAACAATATTACTGAAGTGTATTTATAACAAATTTGATATTGCAGAGAAACAGTGATCAAACATTACAAAATAATTATTTTGTTTCATTATTTTAATTTTGTAGAGAGTTTAACGTTTTGTAGAAGTGCTTAGTTTATTTTTTATTTAATAAATTAAAGTAAAAATAAAAAAACTAATAAAAATGTATTTAATGATATAAAATAATTTTCTTCTGGATAATAAAAATAAAAACCTAACAACTCAAAAATTATGTATAATAATGTTTTAACTAAAAATTGACATGCAAAAAGTTGTTTATTGAAAATTTAGTGTTTATTATGTCTGAGGATTAACTAATGCTTAGTATTATTTATTCTTGCTTAATGTTTCAATTTTTCTCTTATTTCTCTTTACTTCAGCTAATAAAGCTGCGTTTTTATTCTCCTTCAGTAGAGCATCATTTTTTGTTTTCGTGTAGTTGTTTAAAAATACATTAGTGGAAGACCAAACAACCATATCCAAAAATTTTTCCATATAATGTCCAGAGGGGCAAAATTCCTCATTTCCAAGCAAATCCTTTTCTACAAGATAATTTTTAGTTAAATTTGTAACAACATTTCGCTGATTAATTTGTTTGTTAAATTCGGCCTCATATTCAAAACATAACTTCTTTACAATAATATAATTTAACAAAACCGCATTTACCACATGTTTTTTTGGAAGTAAAAGGCTCCCTCTGTCAAGAGCTTGAGTGTAATTGTATTCTTTAGATATAGGTAGCTGTTTGTCAAATAAATGAATTTCTCTACAATCTAAACAGTTGGGTTTTTTTAAAGCACTAAAGGCACAATAACCTGCAACATACACAATAACTGGCAATTGAGTTTTTGCAGAGGATAGATCAGGTGGCATAATTTTTAAAGAGGAGAATATCTTATCATTTTGAAACTCTTCTGCAAAATGTTCATTGTGTAGCAACTCTGTGACTTGGACAAGGCCAAATGATTTTGTGGGGATATTTAAATACAAAAGGGACTTTAATCTAAGCTTTGCCTCACATTCAAATAACTGCCTAGTTGAGATATTGTATTGGCATCCAGCTAATTGTCGATAACAACCAAATCTACTTTCCAAATCATCGGTATGAAATTTCCCTGGCATAATATATTTAAAATTCAATTCATTGACACAATAATCCATAAGTTGCAGAATACCTTCAGTACTTAATTTTAGAGCTCCATGCGTTTCTCTACTAAACATTCCTGCGTCACATTTCATTGATTCCCAGGCATCCAACCAGTCTAAAAATTTGTTTAAAAAGTTTATGCTTCTTTCGTTCTTATAGGAAAGGGGATATTGAAACTCATTTTTTAAGTGAAAACCTTTAGTTGGAGTTTTTACATTTACTATATTCCACCAGTTATTAATAATTTTTATAAAATTGGCAGTATTTTCATAATGAACAATATTATGGTTTTTACCTAATTCAAGCAATCCTTGAGGGACAAATTCATTAAAAATCTGCAAAACTAACTTAACATTTTGTCTTTCAAAACTTGAAGGATTAAGAGATTTTAGACTTAATTTAAAACCAAATTTTGCAAGGCTATTGAGTTCAATATCATAAAGCGTTTTTAATGCTGAAAATGATGCAGTGTAAAAATTGTGCCCTACGTCATTACCTGATTTTTCACCAAACATAGGATAAAAAAAACATTTATCGGGATTTTTTTGGTTAAGCCAATTATTGCGTATACATTTTAACAGGTGCACAAAATCAATTAAGAAAAAAAGAGGTCTATTATTGTCAATGGGGTGAGGATAAACAAATTGCAGTTTAGGAGGATTAACAAATAGGGACATAGCTTTTCTGTTTATGGAATTATTATCTGTTGTTACAGAAATAACAAAGAATCCTAACTCTTCTAATCCCAGTATTACTTTATTTAGGAATTCGTGGAGTATTTCCCCAGTTATTTTTTTTACGGGTAAGACGTGCACTACATCTTTATAAGAAGAGAGAACACTTTTCAACATAAATACTTGGGCACTGGAAGTACAGTTACCATCATAAGAAGTTCCTACAATGTTGCCACTTTTATAATCAAAATATTCTTTTATGTGTATTTCATCTAGCATTATAAGGACAGTTTTATCGTCTTCATTTAAAAATTTAAACTTTTGTTGGATATACTTTAAAAAGTATTCATCGGATTGTTCGAACTGCGGACTAATATTTGATTTTAAGCAGATGTTTCTTATTGTGTTTGGATGTGGTAAAATAATATTGCCACTTTTACGTACAAATCTATATGCATTAGGGGATATTGTATAAATTAAGGAAGCAAAAATTAAAGTTTCGGCAGAATACCTGTATGCATGCTTATCATCGCCTATGTAAGAAAGTTGATCGATAATGAATAAAATTACATCGTTGCATACACTTGTGACATTTAAAAGGGATTTTAAAAATTCTTTAACAGTATTTATAATTATTTTTACATCTTTATCCGTTGGTGGTGTATCCAAAGCTAATTTTTTTAATTCATTCAAAATATCATCTATTGTATCAATAGCAACAAGCTGATGTGGAAATTTAAAGTTTTTTAAAACTTTTATTTCTGTTTTTTTAACATAAGCTTTTGCTTCACAGTTGGAATCTATATATGAAGAGATAGTTACTTCTGTTACTGGCTGAACATCTAATAACATGAAAAGAATGTAACTCTCACTTTTTATAATATTCCAGGAGTTCTTCGTATCTGGCAGCTTAGACTTTAGGTCAGAAAAAGAGGAAAATTTTTGTGTTGCATCATACAATTCTTGACGTTTTACATTTTCAGCTGTTGCAGCTTGAATACTTTCCATTTCCTTTCTTAATTTTCGGTCATCCGAAGATTCTCGATTACTAACAGCTGTGGAAGAGAAGTGCTTCGGTAAATTTGGATGAAGAGATGGTACTGCATTAGGCTTTAATCTATAAGTAAAAAGAAAATTAGAATATAATATATAACCTGAGACACTAATACTTAATTTTAAAATAAATTTTACTTCTTAATCTTTAGTTCGGCTTCTATGAGTAGGCCCGTTTTTTATCATAGGCAGATGTAGTTGTAAGGAGGTCTTTTTCACTAAAATGCTTTTCACACACCTAAAAACAATTAAGAATAGGTTAAATCATGTTTAAATCTTTGAAGAAATTCCAAAATTTCAAATGCCAAGAGAATATATGGGAGAAAGAAAAGGAAAAAAAAAAAGAAAAATACTAGCATAATGCTTAGGGGCCGTTCAAAATGTACGTACATCCCGAAGGGGGGGGAGGGG